TTTGTAACACACAGCTGTTAGTGTAAAAAAACAAGATAAGATGAACAATATGACAAATTATCCAGCAATAAGGAAGATGAAATAAGCCTATAAATAAACCTGCAGTCACACACACACACACACACATATATATATGCGCGCGCGTGTGTATATATGTATATGTGTGTGTGTGTGTGTGTGTGTGTGTGTGTGTGTGTGTATATATATATATATATATATATATATATATATATATATATATCTGCCAATCTCTCAGTTCGAAAACATGCAAATGTGAGTAGATCAATAGATATTGCTCCGGCGGGAAGGTAGCCATGCCAGCCACATGACCTTGGAGTTGTCTATGGACAACGCTGGCTCTCCAGCTTAGAAATGGAGATGAGCACCAACTCTCAGAGTTGGAATCGACTGGACTTAATGTCAGGGGAAAACCTTTACTATACATACACACACGAAACCTCTCTCTCTCTCTCTCTCTCTCTCTCTCTCTCTCTCTCTATATATATATATATATATATATATATATATCTGCCAACCTAGCAATTCGAAAACATGCAAATGTGAGTAGATCAATAGGCAGGGCATTAACAGCATTCCATGTAGTCATGCCGACCACATAACCTTGGACTGGACTTAATGTCAACGGAAAACCTTTACCATACACACAGACAAACACATATATATGAAAACACTAATATTTTCAGTCTGATGTCCCTGGGGAGAGAGTTTCACAGATGGGGGGGCACTGCTGAGAAGGCCCTGTCCCTCGTCCCCACCAATCGTGTTTGCGGTGGCTAAATGGTTCGGGCCCCGCCTATCGCCGTGATCACATCTCCTTCTATGAACCGGTACAAACTCTAAGATCTTCCAGGGAGGCCCTCCTCTTGGTCCCACTATCATCTCAAGTGCGGTTGGTAGGGACGAGAGAGAGGGACTTCTCAGTGGTGGCCTCCCGCCTCTGGAATGCCCTTCCAAGGGAAATAAGACAGTCCCCACCCTTCCCCTCCTTTCGTAAGAACTTGAAGACCTGGTGGTTTCAACAAGCCTTTGAAAATGACCAGTTCTAACTCAGCCCTACACATTGTCGAAGACAGCCTTATTCTTCCTATTACCCGGATCATTTCCTCTAATCAGCCCCGGAATGAACAGCCACAGACCCATACCTAATATTATTGCTGCCTGCCATAGCATTGCACTTAATTCCCGAGGCCTCTAGAATTTTTGGGCTTGCACAAATCTTGGCCCAGCCTTTTAAAAAAATTTAATTTCCTTGAACAGGCAGGATTCTTTTAATATATGTGTTATGGTGACAATTTTTATGCTTATATTTTGTTTTGTTAATCTTATGGTTATGTTGTTTTTTTACTTTGTATGTTTTGTGTTGTTACCTGGGAACCGCTCTGAGTCCCCTCGGGGGGAGATGGAGCGGTATATAAATAAAGTTTAAGTATTACTATCAAGATCCTCTCCAGATGCCTTGGTTAGACCACACCTGAAATACTGTGTCCAATTCTGAGCACCACAATTGAAGAGAGATGTTGATAAGCTGGAATGTGTCCAGAGGAGGGAGACTGAAATGATCAAGGATCTGGAGAACAAGCCCTACGAGGAGCAGCTTAAAGAGCTCGGCATGTTTAGCCTGAAGAAAAGAAGGCTGAGAGGAGACATGATAGCCATATAAAAATATGTGAGGAGAAGTCATAGGGAGGAGGGAGCAAGCTTGTTTTCTGTTGCCCTGTAGACTAGGATGTGGAACGATGTCTTCAAACTACAAGAAAGGAGATTACATCTGAACTTTAGGAAGAACTTCCTGATTGTGAGAGCTGTTCAGCAGTAGAACTCTCTGCCTCAGAGTGTGGTGGAGGCTCCTTCTTTGGAGGCTTTTAAACAGAGGCTGGATGGCCACCTGTCAGAGATGCTTTGAATGCGATTTTACTGCATCTTGGTGTGGGGTTGGACTGGATGGCCCACGAGGTCTCTTCCAACTCTATGATTCTATAGATCTGATAGATCTATAGAATCTATAGATCTGATCTGATTGCCTGTTGTAGGAAATGAATGCTGGACTAGGCTGTTGGGCAGAACTAGCAGGACTTTTATAGCTAGGAAACCATTAAAGGATTAAGGTGAACCCTTAAGTCAGACCATCTGTCTTGACAAAAGGTTTAGTGACGTTTTACATGATAAACAGCTGGGATGTCATCCCCACCGGGTTTATGAAAAGCTATTATCACTGGCCTGCTATAGTGGAATGTTTTCCCTGTTAGCTCCATACCTAATAAGGAGAGGCAGGGATAGGATGAAGGATGACAACACCTCATTATAATGGCTTCATCATAACAATCTGAAGACACCACCAGCTTATCAGAAGGAAAACGGGGAGGGATCGCCCCCTGAAATAATTGCATCCAGCTGAATAAGAAAAAGCCCAAAGTCACGAGACTGGTCTTATTATTATTAATCTAAATGCGGTCATACAGAATGTACAGTAAAGATTATCACAATCTGTTTCTTTGTTAGTTTGAAGCACAATCAAGCAGAAATAGAATCAGTCTTAACTACTGTTATGTCGAAGGAAGGGAAATTGTGCTTAACACTGCTACTCACACACTGATTGGGGTCATGCTCTCTGCCATGAGAAAGCAAGCTGTATATCTAAAAATAGTCATTTTTTCCTCCTTTGGGAAATGATATTGGAAAGGAAATACTTGTTCAGCAGCGCTCAAACCCTCTTTGCAACTGTGAAAAGAATGTGCTCGGCATGTATAACTGTTGCAGAAAAAAAAATATAAACTGTCTCCTAACTTCTGATGACCTTCACATTTGGAGGACCTTGAAATTCACAAATTGTTGTAATTGTTTGTGTGTCCTTTGATCATGTTTTCTATTGGACAAAAATCGAGTCAATGCAGTCACATTTCTCATTCCAAATTCCTTTTTTAAAAGACACACTGTGTGGTGAAATTGTTAAGTGTTGGACTAGGAAACCAGCACTGGAGGCCCAATTGATTCTCAAAAACCAACTGGTTGACGTTGGGCAAGTCACACTAGGTTGCTGTGCGTTTTCCAGGCTGTATGGCCGTGTTCCAGAAGCATTCTCTTTTGACGTTTCGCCCACATCTATGACATCTTGTCTCCTTGTGGCACACATGAATGTTGTAATTTGCCACTTTGATTAGGATTTAATGGCATTGCAGTTTCAAGGCCTGGCTCGTTGCTGCCTGGGGAGATCCTTTGTTGGGATGTGTTAGTTGGCCCTGATTGATTCTTGTCTGGAATTCCCCTGCTTTTTGCATGTTCCTCCTGGAAAATGCATAGCAACCCAGTGATTCCGGCCATGAAAGCATTCAACAACTCACACGAGCTTTAGAAGAAAGCAGTGATGAACCTCCTTTAAATAAATCTTGCCACGTGATTAAAATTAGTGTTTTAATAACTAATGCTAAAAATCTAACTGTTGTTACACTAATGTTATTTTTTTAAAACGTAGCAGGGAATGTTCAGTCTTAGTCCAAAGTCTTAGTTCACACAGTGTAATTATTTTTGGAGTGAAATAGTGAAAAAAGAGATTTTCCAGATTTAGCATTCACAGGAATGGAGCCTCAGAGACAATGATGGCAGATGACTTAATGCCAGTGGGGCACTGAATTCAATCTGGTTTTGAATATAAATTTCAAAAGAGGTCTAGAAGATGCTGAAATCTGTTATTACAAATACATTCTGCACAACAGAAAGCTCAGCTGACGTTACTTCAGACAATAACTAGAGCAGGATAAAACCTAGAACCCCATCAACAGGGAAGCTACCAGCTTTATTGTTCTTGTAAATTGTGATCTGACTGCAAGAACACACCGTAAAAAGCCATTGAAATCCACAAGCATGTGGACAATTTCAACAGAAAGGAGGAAACTATGAAAATGAACAAAATCTGTCTACCAGTATTTAAAAAACTCTAAAATCAGGAAAGTAAATAGAGAGGAACACTAAAAAACAGGTGCATTCCTAGCATGAAACAATCCCAACAAAAGATTCCTTCCAGGCAGGAATCATCCAGGCTTTGAAGCTGCAAGGGCATTCAATGCTAATCAAGGCAGACAATTGCAACATTCATACTTACCTCCAACAGACAAGTGTTCTTTCTCCCAGCCTGGACATTACACAGCTGCTTTGATAAGTTTGCATTTGTTGTAGGAAACACTAAAGAACAGGACGATAGAAGCAACAAACTTCAAGTTCTGTTCCTCTTAATCCGCTCAAATGTGGGAAGCAGCACAGCAGCACTACATATATTTTTTTAAAGTATGTGTGTGAGAACAATCAGTGTATTTGTGAAAGCTGCATCTGACAAAGTCAGCTGTGGCCCATAAAAGTTTATGCCACAGTAAATATGCTTCTTAAGGTGTTGGCAAATGTCATTTTTTTTCAGTCTAGAATTTGTCATTATTTTGTTGTCGAAGGATTTCATGGCTGGAATCAATGGGTTGCTGTGAGTTTTCTGGACTGTATCGCCATGTTCCAGAAACATTCTCTCATGACGTTTAGCCCACATCTATGCCAGCCATCCTCAGAGGTTGTGAGGTTGTGAGGCAGGAAGCAGCCAGGATTTGAAGCTGAAAGGCCATTCAGTGCTAATCAAGGCGGTCAATTGCAACATTCAGACTTGCCTCAAGCAGAGAGTTCTTTCTTCCACCCCGGATATTCCACAGATACATAATCCTCGCTTGCCTAGTTTCCAACAGCCCTCCCAACCTTTCAGGATGCCTGCTATAGATGTGGGTGAAACGTCAAGAGAGAATGCTTCTGGAACATGACCATACAGCCCCGAAAACTCACAGCAATCAAGAAGACAGGTGTTTTTTTATGTCTCATACATAAACTTCTCTATTGTCCCTCATCTATTTGTCACAATTTCTTTAGGTTGCTGTTAAGTTCTTCTATGAATGTTTTTCTAGTGTTTTCAGTGCATGTGTACCTACTGCGGTATTTTGTTCTTTCCTCAGGTTCCTGTGCAGTGGTCAGATATGATCACTTTAAAAGCCAGAATGACCAATTACGGTTTGCCTAGGTATCAATGGCTTTCACATGCCTGGAATTTCTTCCAGCGAGAGGTAAGTTTGCAAAATGGCACGTGCTATAAACAGTAAATGAAATGCAATATTCAGTATATTAATTGCACTTGGTCAAGAAGATCTTTGGGTACGATATGTTCTATTTGAAAGATAACGAAACTGTAACCAGGATCAGCAAAGCCTTGCAAGTGTGACAAATTCAAAAATAGTACACGACTGTGAGCCTGTCATATCTAGCCCCACATGATCAAGAATAATTCCAAAGTCGGATTATCTGAAAAGCTGAACAAGTTAAACTTAAGAAGAAACAAATGATTTTGAGATTGCCTGAGAATGTGTGAGTGTCAAAGAAAACAAGTCACAGCAAGAAAGTTCATGAAGGCAGGGTATAAGGATTATTTCTTTATTTCCAGTATTTATATTCCGCCCTTTTCACCCTTCAGAGAAATAATGGGGGATTACAATTCACATATACATGTCAAACATTCAATGCCATTAGGCATACAACATATATAGACTGACACAGAGGCAATTTAACATTCCAGCTTTCCAGATTCATCAGGGTATGCCACAGGAGGAGCTGTCGCTTCACTGTCCACTTATGACACTGAGTCCTTGATGGAATAGTTCTTCATTCTTACGCACGCTGCTGGAAGGTTTTCTGGTGTTGTAAATTAGTTAAATTAGCCTCTCTGCATAAAACAGTACCTAAATTTCCTACTTAATCGATGCAACTATCTTTTTGGGCTTCAACAGCAAGCTAGACTATTAATGGTCAGGAACTCACTTTGACCCGGGCTGGCTTCGAACTCATGACCTCTCGGTCAGGAGTGATTTAATGCAGCTGGCTACTAACTAGCTGCGCCACAGCCTGCTCCTAGTTTATTGGAGTCTGAAACAATATAACTAGTAGAAGGGAAATAGTTGATATCTGAGTCAGCTCCTGGGCCTCTCTGATCCCGTGATTCTGCACAATTTCATCATTTTATTACCAGCAACCTGTGGAACTCCCTGCTGCATGTGCAATGAAGGAAAACACAATACTGTATATACTCGAGTATAAGCCTAGTTTTTCAGTCCTTTTTTTAGGCTGAAAAAGTCTCCCCTGGCTTATTCTCGAGTCAATGTTATTTATTATTTTACTTAGTTGTTATTATTATTATTATATTTATTATTTTATTATTGTTGTTATTATTACATTTATTTTACTCTATTTATTATTGTTATTGTTACATTTTTTATTTTACTGTATTGTTATTATTACATTTATTATTTTACTCTATTATTACTGTTATTATATTCCATTATTTTACTCTATTATTATTATTATTATTATTATTTTACTCTATTATTATTGAAGGACATGTAAGCATATTCACTTTGAAGAAGGTTAGAATAATGGTTTAATCAGAGTTGGACAGTCATATCTTGAATTACAGTTTTATGTAAATATTCAAAAACATTTACCCTAATGATGCTTAAATTAATATAATTTTATTGGTATCTATTTTTATTTTGAAATTTACCAGTGGCTACTGCATTTCCCACCCTCGGCTTATACTCAAATCAATACATTTTCCCAGTTTTTTGTGGTAAAATTAGGTGCCTCAGCTTATATTCGGGTTGGCTTATACTTGAGTATATACGGTAATTTGTCCCAGAGGGGGATATCCTCAATATCATCCTGATTCGAACCACCGACCTTTCAGTCAGCAGTCCTGCCGGCACAAGGGTTTAACCCATTGCACCACTGGGGGCTCCATTAGGGTGATATATTTCATATTCAGAAATGGAAGGAATAATTTTCATCATGGAATTGTAACATAACTTTGGATGTGCAACATACAATCAGTGCATATGCACAGTAGCACCACATACAGTTTTTATAAATTTCAGCTGAATACAGGTGTTACACCATAGACAAATAATTTTCCATATGTGTCAGGAAATGTATGCATGTGTAAGGATACCAGCGGTGCATTTTCCTTGTAAGTGAAAGCAACACAATTGAAATTGTCCCTGGTGGAAACGTTCCATTTTGGCTTAAGAAGCTATGAATTCAAAACTGAATTCAAAATGAAAAAGTCCCAAGATTAGCTCTTGAGTGAAAAGTTTAGGAAAGCATCATTCTGAAAAGTTGGAAGAAGTCCAAAGCGGTATTTTCACTCAATTTCGAGTACCGTTTCACAGATTGCTGTTCTGCAAAGTGGCCAGTTTTTATGTCTTACTTGTAGATGATGATGGGAACAGCCCCAGCTTGTATATTTTTGATCCCCTGCTGAGAGAGAAACACAGAACCATTTTAAAATAATTAAGTATTATACAGTGAATGCATGGAAGTGTATAAGGTACCTGCCATTAATTCCAGATATATGCTCTTGTGCAGGAAAAGAACACTTTAAATGCCTGTCATGGTCCTGCTCTGGTTGAAATCTATCACTCTTGCACAGATTTCCTGTTTATTTAAACATTTCCTGGCTGCTTTGATAAGTTTGCATTTGTTGTAGGAAACACTAAATAATGGGACTATAGAAGCAACAAACTTCAAGCTCTGTTCCGCTTAATCGGCTCAAATGTGGGAAGCAGCAGAGCAGCTTTTCTGCTAACATTCTCTACATATATTTTTTAAAAGTATGTATGTGAGAGCGATCTATGTCTTTCTGAAAGCTGCATCTGATAAAGTCAGCTGTGGTCCATTAAAAAATTTTTGCCACAGTAAATATGCTTCTTAAGGTGTTGGCAAATGTCATTTTTTAAAGTCAAAGGATGGATTTGATATCTAGACTTCATCATTATTGTGTTGTCAAAGAATCACTGGGTTGCTGTGAGTTTTCTGGACTTTATGGCCATGTTCCAGAAGCATTATCTCCTGACATTTGACCCACATCTATGGCAGGCATCCTCAGAGGTTGAGGTCTGTTGGAAACTTGACAAATAAGGTTTATATATCTGTGGAATGTCCAGGGTGGGAGAAATAACTTTTGTCTGTTTGAGGCAAGCATGAATGTTGCAATTGACCACCTTGATTAGCATTGAATGGCCTTGCAACTTCAAAGCCTGGCTGCTTCCTCCCTGGGGGAATTCTTTGCTGGGAGGTGATCAGCTGGCCCTGATTGATTGTTGTCTGGAATTCCCCTGTTTTTGAGTTTTGTTCTTTATTTGCTGTCTTGATTTTAGAGGTTTTTTAAAATACTGGTAGCCAGATTTTGTTCATTTTCATGATTTTCTCCTTTCTGTTGAAATTGTCCACATGTTTATGGATTTCAGTGGCTTCTCTGTGTAGCCTGACATGGTGGTTGTGAGAGTGGTCCAGCATTTCTGTGTTCTCAAATAATATGCTGTGTCCAGGTTGGTTCATCAAGTCCTCTGCTATGTCTGACTTCTCTGGTTCACTTAATTTGCTGTGCCTTTCATGTTCCTGGGGGAATCCTACAAAGGATTCCCCCAGGCAGGAATCAGCCAGGCTTTGAAGCTGCAAGGTCATTTAATGCTAATCAAGGTGGTCAAGTGCAACATTCACACTTGTCTCAAGCAGACAAGAGTTCTTTCTCCCACCCTGGATCTTCCATAGATATATAAACCTCACTTGCCTAGTTTCCAACAGACCTCACAATCTGCCATAGATGTGGGCAAAACATCAGGTGAAAATGCTTCTGGAACATGGCCAGAAAACTCACAGCAACCCATTTGTAATTATTATTTGTCATCATTCCATTTTTATACTACAGCTTGTACCATGAGGGCTAGAAATCTTTTTTTAAAAGAAAATAAAGCAAAAATTCTCAATATGCAGAATACTTTTTGCCTGGTTTGCATGCCAAAGAAATGACCACTTATTATTAAACATTCCCATTTGTTCCAATTTCTTTAAATTAAGGAAAAAGCCCAACAATATTCCCTGGCCAGATATACAAATTTTTACCTTTGTTGCAGAGATAGCATCAGCTTTCCATATCTATGGGTTCAGCATCCATGAATCATATATATATATATATATATATATATATATATATATATA